GTCTGGTGCAACAACCAGATTTCCAAGCGTGTCCTGCAGGGGCCCCACGTTATCCTGTGCCTTCTTTTTGCTCCCTATGTATTTAAACAAGGATTTCTTGTCATCTTTGATCCAGGTTGCTAGTCCTAGTTCTGTCTCCGCCTTAGCCTTCCTAACAGCCCCCCTACAATCTCGAGCAACGGAGGTATAATCCCCCTTGGTGATGGCCCCTCTCTTCTATTGGGTGTACGCCTCCTTTTTAGCTTTCAGACATTCCTGAATGCCTTTGGTGAGCCAGGCGGGCTTTTGAGCACTCCTGCCCCCTTAGATTCATTTGGGACTGTCACCCCTTGTGTTCGGAGGATCGTCTCCTTAAGGAACGACCACTCATCTTGGGCACCCAACTCCCCATCTTGGGACCTCAGTGCCTCCCGACTAATCTCTTTAGCTCTTTGAAATCAGCTCTCCTGAAGTCAAGCGCTCCTGCCTTCCTACAGGCCTTTGACACCCTGTGCTGGATGGTGAATTCCTGTAGGCGATGATCACTATCGCCCAGGTGGTTGAGAATCTGCAGTCCATTCACCAGGTCATCGCCCGTGGCCAGGACCAGGTCCAGCAAGGCATTCCCCCTGGTGGGACTGTGCACCTCCTGGGTTAGGTGGAGGTCCTGTATCTCAGCTAGGAACCTACGTCAGCGGTCAGACCTGGCTGACTGCTCTTCCCAGCAGATGTCCAGATAGTTTAGGTCACCCGTGATGGCCGAATCCCTTGACGTAACTGCCTCCATGAGCTGACCTGAGAATTCCTGGTCCAGCTCTTCCCCCTGGTTGGGTGGTCTGTAGGAGACCCCCACCGTTAAGTCCCTTCCCCCCAACCCCCCTGTATTCTGACCCAGAGCCCTTCAGTCTGCCCCTCCTTTGACCCAGGGCTGTTTGCTAAGGATGTGTATTGCTCTTGGATGTAGAGCCCCACATCCCCGCCTTTCCTCCCTCTTCTGTCACTCCTGTACACCCTATAGCCCTTGATGTTTACCACCCAGTCATGGGTTGAATCCCACCACGTTTCTGTGAGCCCCACTATGTCCAGGTTTGTGTTAGCTAGCAGGAGGACAAGTTCCTCCTGCTTGTTCCCCATACTACGAGTATTAGTGTAGAGGCATTTAAGGCCTGCTGTGGGTGTATGCACCACTCCCCCCCTGCTCCCAGGACTATCTGGACCCCTGTCACTTACCTGGGTACTTCTTGTGCTCATCACCTGTCTTGGCTGGGAAGTGTTGTCATTTCCCCTGTGGCACCATCCCCCAGCTAAGCTGGTTTAAAGTATGCCGTGCAAGATCAGCCAACCTAGAAGAAAAGACACGCTTGCCTTTAGGGGAGAGGTGTAGCCCATCTCTTTGGAGCATGCCCCCGTGTGAAAATGTGGGTCGTTATCAAGGAACCCGAGGCCTGCCTGGTAGCACCAACTCTGAAGCCACCGGTTGACCTCACCGATGCTGGCGTCGTGGTGGCGCCCACGTCTGCTTACCAGGAGAATAGAGGAGAATACCACCTGCGCCCCCGCCTCCTTGAGCTTGGCTCTCAGGGCCTTGTAGTCCTTCATGATGCGGTCTGGGCTGCTCCCCACCACGTCATTTGTTCCCACATGAATTAGGACCATGGGGTGCTGGTCTGAGGGTTGAATGAGTTTCAGGATCATGCCTGTAACATGCTGAATCCGAGCCTCAGGCAGGCAGCAGACCTCACATGCCATGGGGTCGGATCGGCAGATGGGACCCTCCGTTCCCCTCAGGATGGAGTCTCCGATGACAAGGACCCGGCGTTTCTTTCTCATGGTGCTCCGTCCCTGTTCAGACTGTGCCGTGTGTAGAGTGGCACCGTCCCCCCCGCGGGCATCTCCTCTGACCTTCTCCTCTAAGGCTGCCAAGGCCTTGAATCTGTTCCCCAGTTGTACCTGGGGAGCCACCTCCACGCTAGCCCGAGCAGCCCTGGTTCCATTGCTCAGCTGTGCGTCTCTCACGGGAGGTCTGTCTGTTGGAAGACTGATCAGGCAGAGAATGGAAATATGTGCAAATTTCATCCTCCGCAGCCCTGATCCCTCGTGGCCTGCTCACCTCGGCCTGGAACTCCCTCCCCTGCTCCTCCAGGACCCCAAGTTGGGTACAAGAGGGACAGTCAAGGGAGTCTCCGGACCCCTCTCCCCCCCACGGCCTCCGGGTCCCCGCCAGGCAGCCCCCACAGACTGGGAGGAGGGGCCGCCAGCACCACCATGGGCTCCGTCTGGGTGGAGACCTCAGAGGAGAGCAGGGTAGGTGGCACCACTGGGGCAGGGTCCCTAGTGGCCGCCCTCCTGGTCCTGGCCACCAGGTCGCGGTCCCTAGCAGCTGCTCCCCATGTTCTTACCAGGTTTGTGGAGCTGTGAGTCTTCCTCTCTCTCTTGCTGCAGACTCCTTCCTGGCTAATGCTGCGTGCCTGCCTTGTGCAAACACCAGCACAAATGCCAGCATGCCCTTACAGAGCACACCTGTTTGTGCGCACTGCTCACATGGTGCTTGGGACTGCGGCTCCCTGCTGGCTCAGTTAAAAGGGAGCCACCAGTTCCCTCTGCCCCACTTACCTTAGGGGGATCAGCTGCTGCTGCCCCCACCGCTGCCTCTGCTGCCTCCGCTGCTACACTGCCAGTCAGGTAAGGGGGCACACGTGTGTGTGGAGATGCACGTGTGTCCAGCTCCCTCCTCTCCACTCCTAGCCCCAACTGAGGCCCCATCCCTCACTATGAGGTGCAGCCTGTGTGCCACTCAGCAGATGCCAACAAAGGTGGCATCATGGACAGCCTTCACCATATTGGCCCCATTGTTGGTGACCATGAACCCGCGGGCGAGCTCATCCTGCCCAGCAAGCCACCCCTGCAACATGTGGTTCATGGCTCCCACGATATCCCTTGCAGTGTGGGACTCATCCAGCACTGCGGCTTGCAGTAGAGCCCACTGACAGCTTGACTGATTGCACCAGTGAGGGAGAGGTAGGTGTGATTGCCACCCTGGCTGCTCCAGATGTCGGAGGTGAAGTGCAAAGCTACCTGTGGCCCTGCTTTGCCCAGCTCCTCCTTCAAGTACTTCCTGAATGCCTAATAAAGGGAGGGCACCAGTGCCCTGCTAAATGAGTGTGTGCGGGCACTTTGTAAAATGGGGCCAGAAGTGCTATGAACCGCCTGAACCCTGGCTGCTCAACCAGAAGGGAGAAGGGTTGGCTATCCAGAGCAAGCATCTCCCCAGTGCTCTGGGTGATCTCGCTCGCCTTGGGAACGCGCCCCCCTTTCTGTCCACCTTTCCCCCACTGGTCCAGGGTGGCCTGCCTCTGCTGTGGAGCAAGTGGGGGACTTCCCCTTTGGCACGCTCACACTGGTGCCAGGCTGAGCAACAGGAAGAAGGGCAAGGGGGTGCTGCCTCCTCAGATGCAGCAGCATGGCCGTGGTGGAGAAGTGTCTCACATCCTTGCCACGGCTCATGTGCCTTCGGCAGTGCTGGCAGAAGGCAAACCTGGGACCATCTGCCGCCTCAAAGTGATCCTGCACTACACTATTCCCCCGCTTCTGGGTTGAGGGCGAGGATCCTGCCTTTTCCCCCTTCTCGGCAGGCTGAGGCTCAACAGCAGGAGGAGCTGCCTCAGCTGAGCCACGTGCCTCCACAACCTCAGCTTCCTCCGAGGTGCTGCTTTCCGGAGGGGACCTGGGTCTAGGGGAAACGTGAGGGGTGTGGAGCACAAACTCTGATTCCCCCTCAGTCCTCAGAATTGCTTGAGCCAGCGCGCTCAGCATCCCTGGTTCCAGCTCCAGCTCCTCCTCTGGCAGTGGCAGGCTCACGCTGGGAGATGACGTTGGGGTGGAGGAGACAGTGATTCCACTGCTGGTGCCCACTTCTGGACTGAGCAGAGGTGGTGCAGGTGCAGACGCTGCTCCCACCTCCTGGCTTGCACCAGCAGCACAAATGTCACGGCTGCTCGGGAAGAGAATGTGTCTGTGTTTGGGACGGGGGTGAGGGGCAAGCAGCTCTAGCTCTCCCCGTACCCCCTCTCCCTCCCCTGCCAGAAGACCTGGCACCTGCCTTTCCAGCACGCTTCATATTAATCTTTCCTGTGCTGCAAAAGGGGTGTGTGTGTGTCACTTCTTTTGTGTTGTGTGTTTTATTCCCTCTGTATTGCGTGCGAGCACTGGACTCTTCTTTGATTGTTTGCTTCAGTAACAAGAAGTGTTAAGAGCTATGTAAAAATTGTGTCCTGTCTGTCTGTCTGTCTGGACAAGCTGCCGGTGGTTTCGTCCCACTCCTTGCCCCAGACCCCATGCAGTGCCTGGCTGGGCAGCACTCACAGCCGCTACACCAATCCTTCCTTCACTGTGGGGGCCTTGATCTGCCCCTCCCTATGCCCCTCCCCTCCATAGGCAGTTGCTATCCACTCCGCTATCCCGCAGGGAGCTGCCTGACTGTATTCCCGGGCACGTGCACGTGTGTTGCAAGCATGTGCACGTGGCCCCCCTGCATTCTGGGCAGCCCCTTGCAGGCTGGGACGCTGCCTGCCTGCAAGGGGAAACCCGCGGTTTCCTGATCCCCGCACGACACTGCAAACCTGGGACAAATTCTGCCCTGGAGTCATGCAGCCCAGGATTGGGACTTGATGTTCCTATTTCCCAACTGTCCTGCCCAATGAGGGACAGATGGTCACTCCCCCGGTCGAGTCCTGCTCCATCCAAAGCTCAAAACCAAACTTTTCCATCAGGCAGCCGGGAGGGAGCCAATTCACATCGTGGCTCATTATAACCTATCTGCTCCCTTCAGCTGGGCAGGCTGGGCTTTTATCTACCCCGGAGGCCCCGCCCCTGGAGTCTGCCGGACCTGCAAAGTGCAGTCTTCAACCAGGTCCAGGGGCTCCTCGCTCCCCACTCTCTGAGCGTGGGTAGGGCAAGCCCCGCCCAGCTGTTACCCGATTGGTGGAAGTGTCCTTCTGCAAGCTGGGCGTGCCACCAGCTGAAAACAATAACAGCCCAGGACCCGACTGGGCCCGTAGCCAGCGCCAGCGCGGACCTGGCTCCTGGTGAGTCACCCTTTACCGTGGGGAGCAGGGTCCGCAGGGTGCCTGGGTAGGACCTGCCCCTGGCCAACCCTCCCTGCTCCTGGCCTGCCCTGGTTTTCAGCCCCAGAGCAAGGGGTGAGGCAGGGGATCGGACCCAGGGGGAGCGGGGCAGCCCCAGGCCACGTTGCTGCCCATCGGTGCATGGGGAGGAGCTGCCTGGGTGCTAATGATGAAGGTGACTAAGGACGAGGCAGTCTCCGCTGCTTTGTCTTTTGTTGCCTTCTTTTCCTCTGCAGTCTCCAGCTGCAGCTGCCTCGGATTTTATCTCGTTTGCCTTTTCAGCCCTGCTGTGGTTTGTGCGGTCTTGGGGCTAGTGCTAACAGCACCAGTTCCTCTTGGCTGCCTGGAGACTGAAACCGTTCTCGGAGACAAACTGTAAACAGGAACGGGGGCGGTGGCTGCTGGATTGAAACTGCGGTGATCTTTGTTGCTCTCGGGGCCCTGCACCATGTCCAGATCAAAGCTGGATCGAAGGTAGCTAAAGAGCTGGGGGGCTCTTTTTGCAGATGGACAGACATTTTTCCAGTGTGATCATTCTTTGGCACCCGTAGTGAGTGCAAACTTATTGCGCAGTTCACCGATAGTGAGTCCACATTTATTGCACAGTTCACCAGTGAATTGCGAGATAATGGCTTGGCACTTGTGGGCAGACGAAATGTTTTGCGTGAAATGCATGATATAGGTAAGGTTGAGCAGGGACCCGAGTCAGCGATTCCCAGTGTCAGTGTTAGCAGTGGCTGTGTGCAAACAGGAGTCCTAAGACAAACCCGGAAACGTGAAGCCGAAATCCAGTCCTGGTCTTTCTGAGCTCTTTGCAAAAGTGAAACTGCTCTGTTATTTTTCAGTAGTCGAAAATGACCAAAATTAAGACGTGGCATTTTCTGTGCGGGGGCACATGAGTCTGTCCGGGGGTGACTGGAGTCTCAGATAGGTTGAGACCCGCTTCTCTGAGCCAGGGCAGCAATTCTGCAAACACAAGCGCTCCTCGTTCTGCTGGCATGCCAAGTACAAGTGCCTCTCCTTATTGTTGGCGGGGGGTTCATCTGCTCCCGTTGTTCTGTCATCGTGTCCGTGATCCAGCACTACAGCGTTACAGTGATGTACGGCCAGCCTCTCCCCTCCCCTCCTTGCCTTACCTGTCTGAATGTTACCCTGGTCTTTTCAATATTCATCTTCGCGTCCTGATTCGGAAAGCTGTCGCGTGACGGTGCCGTACAGCATTAGAGATGTACTAGTCCCGTCAGGTCTAGGTGGTGCTCCAGCACTTACCATTGACACCAGCAAGGAAAATAATAGTGCTGTGAATCAACAGTGCAATAACTGAACCTGGTTGTAAGGAAGGGAAGGCGGGCTCAGATGAGCTCCCTGATACAAGAACTCAACTGCTGCTCTAGTACAGAAAGAGGAAATGTGCTCTTGGCCTGGGGGTTTCCTGGCAGGCAGGAAAGACCACAAGACACTGTGCGCTTGGGCCGTGTCTCTTCAGTCCTACTTCCCCCTCTCTCAGCATTGCTCCCTGTAGCAAGCGAAAGGCACACGAGCCAGCCCCCTGCTTCTATGTGCAGTCTGTGCAAACTCAGAGCTGAAATGACCAGCCAGAGGAGCCAGGGAAGGTGGCTGTTAAGCAAAATGATCCAGCTGAAGAAGTAATTTACTTTCTGCATTTTTTTTCATTGTTAGTATTAATTATTAGTCATTAATAGGACTGCTACTTTTTCATTTGCTTCCTTTAGTCTGTCAGGCCTCATACAGCCATGAAAGGCAGCATTCCTGGTCTCAGCAGTCGTAAACCAAGCACATTTTGGTGATATTTATAACATCAGGAGCTGAAAAGGCCACTGGACAAAACAGTAATTTTTAAGTTGATGGTGCCTCCCTAAGGTTAAAAGCACAAGCTTATCCCTAATGCTTCTTGCTAGGCAGCTCTAGTACATACACGGCTATGTGCTGAGGTGGATGCGGTCTAGCACCAGGTGGGAATGGCACTGCATTTGACTGCCCCGTGTTGGCATCATTCATTTAATTTTCCTCCATGGCTGTCCAAGGGCAGAAAACAGACCAGGACCCTGCCCTGGGACTGTGGGAGACCTCAGGGCAGATGCTTGTCCATTAAATTGTCTTCTGAGTCCCAGCCAGTGCGGTTGAGTCCCGTGGGGCTGCCTTCCCCAAATGCTATCCAGTGTCCTTGTCTATCAGCTTTGCTCCTAACATCACTTGTGTCCAGTCGGTGTCCTCTGCAATTAAGGCTCTGGGGCAATGGGGGGTGTTTTGGCCCTGTTTGCTCATCATGTCTGAGCCATTGAGAGGGACCCGGGCTTTCCCTCATTGAGAATTGTTCAACAGTGGAGGCCACTCTTGGTTTCCGTTACTGGGTCCATTATCGGTGCAGGTTGGTGATGCTTTACTTTGGTACAGCGAGTCCCCAGGACATGTTGAAGCAGCAGTAGTTGCTCAGACTCGAGTAACTTCTCTTGCTGATGACAGGCTTGCCAATTGTCCTCCACTCGGTCTTTGCAAAGAGGGGAAAGTTGCCTGAGAAGTACTTGCCATCCTTGTTCCTGAACTTGTGCATGAAGCCACTTCCATCTACTCCTTTAAATCCTTCCCTGAGACCTTCTCCAGTGCATACCAACATTTTCAAATCTGAAATGAGCTGGCTGGAGATGACCAGGTGGAGGGACAGCTGGGATAACCGTATATTGCTGATTGAATAGTATTTACCGTCAGGACGGATTTTACCCCATAGTCATATTGGTACCAGGCTGTGGGGTTGGTGCTTTCCTCTCTAGCGGGAAGCACCAGGGATCTCTTGCATGTGTATTGACATTTCCTAGAAACAGGACGTTGGCTGCCGTGTTCCCCCTGGGCAGGCTAGGATGTGATGTCTGTGGTGTGTCAGGGTTGGCGGTAGTCTTGTGCAGAGTTTACATTATGGATTTGGATAGGATGGTTTGGACAGGGCTGATCCTGCCGCAGGCAGGGGGCTGGACTGGATGTGACCCCTGGAGCTCCCCTCCAGCCCTACTTCTCCATGACTTTATTAATACAGTGTTTACATTAAGACAAAACAAGTGAATGCCTGGTACTGTGAAGTGATTCAGAGCCACCGCATGCACATTGTGACTTATGCGATCATATGACTTCGATATTCTAGGTTTAATCTCAGCCCTTCTGTGCTTCCCTCAGACTTGGTGGTTGCATGTGACCCCACACTGTAAAATCATGGGAGCAGGGCAGCGTCCTTCGGTGTGTCCATGCAGTGCCCAGCAAAACAGCCCCCTGGGCTTGCACGGTCGACGGCTTGCTGTCACTGTGTCTGTGCTGTGCCGGGGAGCACCGTGACGAAACATGCCCCATCCCCCCTGTGCAGACCCGCTCCTGGGCATGAGGCAGCATTGCTGCCCAAAAGTGACCCTGCGGAGAGCTCAAAGCATGCCCCAGACAACCTGGGGGCACCTCTTGGCACCTATCCAGGGCCTCTTTACGTCTTCATTTTGGGGAGCTGGCAATCACGGAGCAGAAGTCAGGGGGTCGGGTTGTTTCCTGGAGGCGTTTGTGGGCCTATGAGGCAGGACAGACATGCTCTGATCGTGTCACGTGCCCAGTGCACGTGTGGTTTGCTTCCCAGCCAAAAGGCCCAAGGAGAGAGGATGGATGGTTCAGTCGGAGCAGTGCCAGCCTGGTCCTTAGGACACCTGATTTCAGTTCCCTGCTTCACCGCAGGTTCCCTGCAGGACCCTGGGCAAGCCACTCGGGCCTGGGTTTTTGAGTGTGGTGAGGGCTCCTGGAGATGGTACTTAAGTGGATTAAGTGCTGATGGTGCTTAAGTGGATTAGGCATCATTAGATGCCTATTTGCATCCTTGGTGCCTTTGTAGCTTCAAACACCTGTCCTCATTCCCCCACTTTCCCATCTGTAACATGGGGATCGTAGCCCTTGCCCTACCCGTCAGGGGGCTTGTGGGGATAAGTCTGTTGACCGTGAGCTCCAGAGTAATGATGGCCAGATACACATCTAGGATACAGAGGAAAGAGTTGGAAGTAATGTCATCTTCTCCGGGAGGGGCGTGCCTGCCTTTTGTCACCGGGGTCCTTGATCCTCAGATGCCGTTCTGTGAGGACTCTCACGTGGATGGCCAGGTTTGATAAGGATTGCAAAGTGCTAGATACGCAAGGAGGGAAATCCCCAACCCTCACAAGCTTCCCCCTTCTTTTTATACGCAGTGTGGAATGAGACTTCAAGAAAAAACATGGCCACCCTGGCAAACCTTCTGTATGTTGGATGGGTGACCGCTGCCATCATCGTCCGGGCAGGTAAGCTGATTTACCTACTTCCTAACGGGCGGTGCATGCCTCTTCTCTGTGCTACTTGCATATCTGTTGGTTAGCATGAATATTTCTTAGTTTCCTATCTGTGGTGAAGCATCTTGGGATTGTTAGGTTAAAATAGCTATTTCTAAAATATCTATATCACTTTTCTATTATGATAGAAAATCTGGGGTGACTGAAGCACTATTAATCGTAGTGGAAATGTAGGGCTAAAAGCCGCCTTAGCAAAATGCTTAGCATAAGCAACCCCATTTTATGCCTTGGTATAACTAATGCCACTAAGTAAGAGCAAAGCCAGCAGGTCACGATTCAGGGGACCTTTTTATAACTCATCATGTCAGAAAAAAGTTACAAGTGGTTTAGCAGTCCAGAACAGCAGGATATAGATAGCAGCCTGACATGAAAAACAACCACTATGAGAGATGATTGGTGGATATTTATGACACAGCTGTAAAACTATAAAAGAAGTACATAACACCTTGGGGGAAAAAAACCTTAAAGTTGGGGAAAGCAACACACAGGAAAAGAAACAAATAATTGAACCTCGATATGGTGACAGATGCCTGGCCAGCTGAACCTCCTTTATCCATGAGAAGGCTCACGTAAGAATACTTCTGTTGACTTGCTTAGAAGTTAGATGTTGTCTTTAAAGCCTTGCTTAAATATTGGTATGCTTTGTTCAATAAATTAAGATTTGAGACTGGACTAGTCTCACCGATCACTTCACTAGCATTCACCCTACCTCTTAACGAAATGTAGCACAACAGAAAAGGGATGGACAATGTGAGCAACGGGCCAGATTCTGTTTTGCCTGTTAAACACATAATTGGAGGTATGTGTGTATCTGTTTAACTCTGAAAACCAGTTAATACAAAAGATGCTGATTTGTTTGTGACTCCATCTTAAAGGACAGATGACAGTGTGGTACAAAAATATAATCGGCGGCAATCCATGGATTTGAGGGTGAGCTCTACCATGGCTCATCGATGGATCTGGAGCTGACTTGAGATCACAGCTCTTGAGCCACAGATCCATCCACAGAAGTTGCAGGCCTTTCCGCAGGGGTGAGTAGGCCATAGGCCAGGATTTCTCTCCTTTTCCTTCCTGCGCTTTCTCTTTTCTGCTTCAAAGGCAAGACACATTACCATGAAGCAGGCTGCCACTTGCTTGATGTTGCAGCACCATTGGAGATGGTCAGCAGCCAGCTTCTCACAGCTCTTGATGTCAGCATCCATGATCTTGAGGTATGTCTTCAATATTTTTGTCGTGTTTCCTCTGGCTGCTGCAAGAGCTCAGGCTGCAACTAAGCTGGGAGTCGAGAGTCAGGCATCCACATGCAATGACCAGTCCAGTGACATTGGGATGTTGGGGATCACTGACTCAATGCTGGTTACATTGCCTTTCGTAAGGATGTTGGTGATTGTGCAGCAATCTCCCCAATGAATGGAGGATTTTTTTGAGAAATCATTGGTGGTGCAGACTCCTGAAATGACAGTGGTACGCCCACATTTCACATCTGTAGAGAAGAGTGGGAATGATGACTGTGTTGTAGATCTGGATCTTGATGTCTTTCTGAAGACTGTGATCAATGAAAACACACCAAAGCAATTTCCCAAAGGAGGAGTTTGCATACAAGATCCTCATTAATGTTGACTCTCTGTGAGAGGTGGCTACTGAGGTAAGGGAAGTGCTCAACTACCTCCAGGGTCTCTCTCTCTCAATGGTAATTTGGGGAGGGGGGTCCCATTTATGGCCTAGAGTAGGCTGATAGAGCACTATAGTATTTTTAGTATTGAGAGAGGCCAGTAGCTAGAGGTCAGTAGGCCTCTGTGAAGAGATCCAACATGGTTTGGATGTTTTCTTCAGTGTGTGCTATTCATAGATTCATAGATTGTAGGGTCGGAAGAGACCACAATGGATCATCGTGTCCGACCCCTTACCCCTGGCAGGAAGAGGACTGAGGTCAGATGACCCCAGCCAGGTGACTATCGAGCCTCCTCTTGACCTCCAAGCTAGGTGATAGCACCACCTCTCTTGGAAGCCCATTCCAGATCCTGGCCACCCTTACTGTGAAAAATTTCTTCCTAATATCTAACCGAAATCCACTCTCAACTAGTTTACACCCGTTATTCCTAGTCACTCCCTGGGGCGCCTTAGTAAACATCGTGCCCCTTATTCCCCATTGACCTCCCCTAATAAATGTATAGGTGGCCACAAGATCTCCCCTCAGCCGTCTCTTGTGATGGCTGAAGAGATTCAGCTCTCTTAACCTCCCCCCGTAGGGTCTATCACGAAGGCCACTAATCATGCGAGTGGCCCTCCTCTGGACCCTCTCGAGATTCCCCACGTCCCTCCTGAAGTGCAGTGCCCAAAACTACTGCCAGCTCATGTTCATCTTGGAGTCAGTTATAACTCCAAGATCTCTCTCTGCCTCCAAGCTGCTGAGAAGGACACTTCCTAACCTATAGGTGTGCTGGGGGTTCCTCCTTCCCAGGTGGAGTACCTTACATTTATCTTTATTAAATTGCATCCTATTTCTCTCTGCCCATTGATCCAACGTGTCCAGGTCCGCCTGAATCTGCTCCCTGCCCTCCAGTGTACTGACTTTGCCCCATAACTTGGTATCATCAGCGAACTTGGAGAGGGTGCTCTCCACGCCCTTGTCCAAATTGCTGATGAAGATATTGAATAATATCGGTCTGAGGACCGAACCCTGCGGGACCCCACTGCCCACCTCCCTCCAGGCCGAGAAGGAACCATCCACCACCACTCTGTGGGTGCGGTCCCTAAGCCAGTTGGCCACCCACCTGACCGTGTAGGTGTCGACGCTGCAGTCTGCTAGCTTCCCAATGAGGATAGGCTGCGAAACTGTGTTGAAGGCCTTCCTAAAGTCCAGGAAGATGACATCAGCCTCGGCTCCCGCATCCAGGCAGTGTGTGACCTGGTCATAGAAGGCTACAAGGTTTGTCAGGCAGGACCTACCTGTGACAAACCCGTGCTGGTTTCCCCTCAGCATCGTTTCCCCTGCTGGGCCTGCACAAATGTGACTCCTTGATTATTTTCTCCAGCATTTCCCCAGGAATGATGGCACAGTCATCAGCATATTGCATGTCAAGGATGGTTGTTTTGAGTACTTTGGTCTTTGAGCAAAAAATGTCCCAGATTGAAAAACCCTCCATCCTTTTGGTACTCAGCGTCAATACCAGAAGGGAGGTGGTTCTTAACAAGAACCAGGACAACAGTAAAAAAATGGAGTTGGGGCAATGACACATCCTTACTTGATCCCCATTTGAATGACAAATGGATCCGTCTCTGATCTGCTATAAAGAACAGTCAATCATCTGGTCATGGAGAAGCCTCAGGACTTTGACGTATTTTTCAGGGCAACCAAATCTGGCCAGTACTTTCCACAAGGCTTCATAACTGACAGAGTCAAAGACCCTAGTGAGGTCAATGAAGGCCATATACAGGTCCTGATGTTATTCCTAACACTTTGGATCTAATGAGCACCAATGTTCACGTCAATTGTCCCACAAGGTGCTCTGAAATCACACTGAAATTTTGGCAGGACTTCCTCAGCGAGAGGCAGAAGATGGTTCAGGATGATATGGAGAGGATTTTGTTTGCTGCAGGAAGGAGGGTGAAACCTTGATAGTGCCTGCACACAGACTGATCTCCATTCTTGACAATAGTCACAATGTTAGCGTTCCTCACATCCCCAGGATCTCCTCGTTGTTCCAACTGCAAAGGATACATTTGTGGAGTCTCAGTACCAGTTCCTCACCACCAGCCTTGAAGATTTCACCATTGAGTCCAGTATCCTTGCTCTTCTTGGTTTCCTTGATGGCAGGCCACACTTCTCAGATAGGAGAGTCGGCAAAGGATCCCCTTTCCAGTTGTTTGGGGAGGAACTCAATGGTAGCATCCATCACAGTCAAACTCGCAATTCAGTAGTGCCTCAAAGTGCTCTTTCCATCTAGCTTGGACAGATCATCTTGGAGGAGTGTCAAGGCCAGGAATTGCAGGGAAACAGGAATAGGGGAGGTCAGACTGTAGATTGTTTCCATTGCCTGGAAGAAACTATGCACGTCATGTTTGTCAGCATAGAGCTGAATCTCCTTGGCTTGATCTTGCCACCACTGATTTATGATTTCCTGGATCTTCCTTTGAGCTTCAGCTTTGAGAAGCCGATATGTCTCCTTTTTCTGCTGAGATGAGGTGTCATCTTGCCTCCTTCAAGGAGGGCTTGGATCTCAGCGTCATTGTCATCAAACTAGTTTTGGTATCAATGGGCAGTATCGCCAATGGATTCAGCACAGGCCATATGGACTATAGCTTTAAACCCCTTCCAGAGTTCCTCGATATTGCCTTCAGTTGTGGGCAGGGCAGAAAGCTTTTCATGATGACACTGTTGGAGATCCTTGCAGACCTTTAGGTCTTGAAGAGATCTGGCATTGAGAGACCTTCGCATTGCTTCTGGCTGTTTTCAGTGCTCTGGAGCAAGCCGGATATTCATAATAGAGCTGATAATCATCTGCCCAGCAGTCATCAGTTCCTCACATGGCTCATGTGATACAGCCCGTGATCAAATGGATGTCTCTAACAAGAACACAGTGGAGGAGGTGCCATCGCTTAGAGCAAGGGTGTCTCCAGGTGGTCTTGTATTTGTCACTCTGTCTGAAGATGGTGTTTATGATGACAAGATCATGCTCTGTGCATTTGCTCAGGAGAAGGATGCCACTGGAGTTGGCTTGCTATACTTTTTCCTTCCCAGTGGTGCTTTCCCTACTCCTTCTTTCCCGGTGGTGCTACTCCAGAGTTTCAGGCCATGGCCAACTGTGGCACTGAAGTCACTGAGAAGAATGATCTTGTCCTCCTTGGGAGTATTAAGCAAGTGTAGCCTCCACCCTCTTCCTTCAGCTAACCCTCATCTGGTTGTCTTGTCTTACTCAGAGCTGCCTTGTTCATGTTGTCTCTCGCTAGTTCCTCGGAGATGACAGCAATTCTTCTTTCCAGTTGTTCATTATCTCGGTTGTCCATCAAGGTGCAAACATCCCACACTGCACAAATCAGTGCCTTTTTATGATGTTTTCAACTGCAGAGAGAGTGTTCCCACTGGATTCAGCCACCCAACTGGGAGTAGATAAGACCATCTAGGTTTAGGTCTCCCTTTTCTAGCCCCCTCCCCCTGTAGAGTGAGCAGAGGTGATCCGGAATAGGACTGATTAGTCACAGTAGCAGCTGCCAAATTGCACCGCTATCTCAACCCAGGTGCAAGATGACCATCAGGTTACTGTCACCTGCATGCAAATTTCTCACTGGAAGCTTTTGGATTCACTGGTCCTGTCTCCATCACCACTGGTTCATCACCACTGGTTCATCACCACAGGGCTTTTAAAGGTTCATAGATTCATAGATGTAGGGTCTGAAGGACCTCAACAGACCATCAACTGACCCCCTGCCTAGGCAGGAGAGAGCGCTGGGGTCAGATACCCTCAGCCAGATGCCTATCCAGCCTTCTCTTAAGCCCCCCAAGGCAGAGGAGAGCACCACCTCTCTTGGAAGCCTAGTCCAAATTTTAGCCACCCTCACCGTGAAGAAGTTTTTCCTGATATCCAGCCTAAATCTGCTCTCTGTCAGTTTGAGACCATTGTTCCTTGTTAGGCACCCTGGTGAACAGAGCATCTCCGATCCCTTGCTGCGTCCCCATAATGAATTTGTAGGCAACCACAAGGTCACCTTTCGGCCTTCTCGTGTGGAGGCTGAAGAGGTCCAGGTCCCTCAGTCTCTCCCCCTAGGGCTTGTCCTGTAAGCCCCTGACCATACGAGCGGCCTCCTCTGGACCCTCTCAAGTCTATCAACATCCTTCTTGAGGTACGGTGCCCAAAATTGGATGCACTACTCCAACTGCGGTCTGACCCACGCCGCATAGAGGGGAAGCATCACCTCCTTGGATCTATTTGTCACGCACCTGCTGATTTGGTTGGTACAGCAGAGTTTTTTTTTCCCCACTGTGGTAGAAGCCTGCATGTGACTTCATTTAACATGAGGAAGCTGCT